TTTTGTCAATATATATTTAAATTTATACAAAACTGAATTAAATATTGTACCATTATATTATATTTGTATTGGTTTTACGTTTTTAGTTTTTCTCATAAATAACCAATTTTTTCAAGGTTCAAACAAAACACAAATAAAATATATCAACATTCAAAATATAGGGTAGGGATTAATTAATAATTACTTAAACATATAGGATCGGTTCGGTTCGATTTGATATGGTTTTCATACCAAAACCAAACCGAGTTGTCGGTTTATTTTCTCATACAAATCAAAACCGACCAGTGGTTTTGCAAAACCGACCAACTCGGATTAGGTCGGGCCGGTTTAGTCGGTTGGACCGGTTCGACATTTAATGTGAACACCCCTATGACTCAGATTTTTTGTCTCCATTGATAGCCCTAAATCTCCTTTTCTAAGGGACAAGTCAAAATGTCTAAAACACCTTCACAGTCTAATCAAATTATACATAAGACTCTTTGCTCCTTGTCAACCTTAGTTCAATAGTAACTGCCACCATCACTGCTGCATCCCATCATCGTTAAAAGAATTCCATGCGAAAACAATAAAATTCTGACTTTCAAGGAAGGAGCTCTAAGCCCTCTACAAAAACAATAAAATTCTGGCCAACATGACCAACAATAGCCATGACTGACGCTCTCATGGTTCTCCAGATTTAATGTAAGATACTTCTTTGAATAAATCAAATTATCTCTGAAAACCCACAATCTGTAGCAGAATCGCCATAGAAGACAGAGAAAACCAATCTCCAAATCTCTCTAAAACTTGTCATACAACCTCTAATTATTACAAATCTGTTAAAGATCCAGCCATTTTGATCAAGAATGAACCCTCCAAGTTCTTAAGCTCGTACTCAGGCTCTTTGGAGTACAAGAAGAAAAAACGTTCAAGAAAAAGAACAAGAGAAAGAAGACTCCAAGATTTTAACTGAAAACTAATATAATAATTTTTTTCCGTGGACATTGGCTATTGTCCCAGCAGGAAATTGAGGGCCCAGAGTAGGAATGCAAATCCCCTGATCCCAACATTTTCTACTAAAAAAAGTTTATTAACACTTACAACTTGACTTGAACCAGGATCAATTAATGATAGCATCAAATCTCTTAACACTACTTTTAAAACACCAAGCTATCTCACTTTTTGTGTTATTTAATGAAATAAAATAGGTTTTATTAACTTTTGTGTTTATCCAAACAGTCAATACATATATATGATTAATAATTCCAACTAAAATTGAAAGAAATAATATTTAAAACTAGTATTTTATAACTAAATGAAATAAATAATCTATCAAATCCAAATTTACATCAAATGATRATTTTAATCCYAARAAATTTATACAAATAAAATATTAATAATAGAATAATTATCTTAGTACTTAAAATTTAAAATTTTGTGCATGATATATATCTTACAATTTTTATATATTTTTATGATTATTAGTTAATATTTTAATCTATATTAAATAACATTATATTTATCATTTACAAAAAAATAAAAATTATGTTTGCAAAATATTCAAGAATATAATATTAAATTGAATCAATCAAATCCACTATAAATAAATGAAACAAATAATCAATCAAATCAAAATTTACATCGAATGATGATTTTAATCCCAAGAAATTTATATAAATAAAATATTAATAATAGAATAATTATCTTAGTACTTAAAATTTATAAATTTGTGCATGATATATCTTACAATTTTTATAATTATTATTTAATATTTTAATCTATATTAAATAACATTATATTTACCATTTACAAAAAAAATAAAAATCATGCTTGCAAAATATTCAAGAATATAATATTAATTGAATCTATCAAATCCACTAATTTAAATTTATAGGAAAAAAATGATTTTTAGTTTCAAAAAATTTATAGAAGTTCAAATTTTAATAATGAAATAATTATTTTAGTAATTAAAAATTGTGGATTTTCATATGATATACATCTTATAAAAGTTAACAAATTTGATATATTTTGAGTAAAAATTATATATTTTTATAAATCGTTAAATGATAATTTAATTTATATTTGAGAATTTAATATTTAGTTAACCTTTTTGTTAATGTTAAAAAGTAAAAATAATAAAATAGAAAATAATTGATATAATAATAAGGATAAATCCAATAGGTTCATATCTTTTGTTTCTTGGACTCTTAATTAATATATTGTTTGATAGTTATGCATCCCAAATGTTGGGTGTCGAATATCCTAAAGTCAAAACCCAAACCCTATAGCATTTTAATCTAAAATCCCAAACCCTATAGGGTTTTGATAAATGGGTCATATTAGGGTCGGGATGGGTCGGATACCCGAAAATTTCCACAAAATTGCCATCCCTAGCCCCGAGTCTCCCATCACCTACGTTGGAATTGAAGGCTGATACCTTTGTGAAGAGAGATTCATAACATCTCTGAGAATTTCATAAATAACATTTTGAGTGGACTCCGTTTTCTTATAATCTTTCCAATTCAATACTTGTCTCCTTGCTTGATGCTTCTTATGTTTCGGTGCTCTAACTTTAATTGTTTCAAAGCAATTGGGGAATGAGCTAGAAACTTCAGTACCATGGCTATCAACAGAGAATGAATTCCATAGCCCCTGGTAGAGGATCCAAAACAAAACTCACTTCACTAACAAGAATCGTCCTTTTTATGTTTGGAATAATTCCCACAAAGTGAGGAAAACTACAAGGATTTTGGTTGTTTGCTTGCCTTTCCATAAATCCAATATGCCCTCTCTATGTAACCGAAATGCTCAGGCGTCGATTTTGTCGTGATGACCAGTGTCATTGCTACATTTCTCAACTGCGCACTTATGCGTGTCACCGATCATTACAAGCATGGAAGATTTTCCAAAAACTCAATGTCGTGATGACCACATGAAAGATGAAACCACAATAGGAGAAAAAGAAAAAATGGAACGTGAATATCTTTCCTCACTAACTAATTAAAATCCTCATTAAACGCTGAAATATTAGGTTGCAAGTATAATTTTATTATGAGACTCTGCAAAACTAAAAACCAGATAGGATAATGACAAACACCCATTAGCCAATATCCCTGAAGAAGAACAGTTGTCGCTTTTATACATAACCAGTATTAACAAGATAATGGGGCAAACGTTTGTAAGAGGAGGTATTTTGTCCAATGAAGTTTATAGACATATTAGTGGCGATTAAAAGGATAGTATTGGATTTTTGAAAATATTTAGCCACACAAGAGGTCACATACAATTGGATTTTAGCGGATTCTTATCGAAGGGGTGGTTTGTCTGATGACGTCACACAATAGGGGAGGTATTAATCCACTTTCAAAATAGAGGGGAGATCTTAGTCCAATACTATTATTCTAGAGAGAGAGAGAAACAAACTTTTAACCACGGGCCCTTCCGAATTACACCTAGTCCATTGCTTCTTTTTTTATTTCCCATTATTCTAGAGAGAGAGAAACAAACTTTTAACCACGGGGCTTTGGAATTAGGATTCGTTTTGATCCAGTCTTAAACTGATATAGAATGCGCTCAATCCCAGTTTATACCATGACCCTATCAGCAAGCAATTGTATTGTAGACATTGCATTGTGTGTATTGTATTGTGTATCATATCGAAGGTCATGAATATCATACGGCAAGTTTGGGGATATTGAATGTTTCAGAAGTTAGAAATCATCTCAAAAACGTATGTCAATTACTAAGCTGAATTAAGAAAAAAAATTTGAACAAATGCAATTTTTTCATCATGCATATCATTATTTTATACTTTCATTATACTTAATAGGAATACGTTTTTTTCTTTTGGTGTCATATTATAATATTTATATATAAATACATAATGTAGCCCAATGATGTCATATTATAACATTTATATATAAAATAAAAATATGGGCTGAGATGCAAGAATAAAAACATAGGCCCAAGAAAGGAATTTTTGGGTGGGCTGACACTTATTTTCCACAAGCACTGATCCCCAAGGATATAGGGAATAAGGGAACTGCTACTTGTGGTTCCAGGTCCGATATGGCAGAAATTTAAAAGATAATAAGATACCATTGAATTGATAGTTTCTCTTCCAAGACTCCCTGTAAAAGATCTGACTTGTCATTTTTTAAATCAAACAAAATAACAAGGTCATCCAAATCAATCAATTTAGACCATTCAATGCACCGAAATTAACTCACACATTCGAAATATGGGCACCCAACACAAAATACTACCTTGTACCATAATGGGACCACTTGCGCATATATAGATGAGGAAACAGCAAACAGTGTGAATGAAGCATTGCAGCTGTGAGCATTTCGCTTGTCGTAGCATGATAAATAGCAAATAAACTTCAATTAAGGATCTATTTGCAAATATCATTGCAATAAAACAGGAAAAAAAAGAGTTGACTTCGCTCTATGCATGGCCCGGAATTTCCAAAAATCATTGCAAGTTTTAGTTTTTCTCAAAAATAGTTTTATTAAAATGAGATCAAAAACACAAATAAACAAGCATCTCGGAACCTAAATGATGCAATACACCCGAGACGTAGTATATTGTACCGATGCTTTGAACCTTAGGCCGACATAGATTAACACACCGTATCTTACATGTCGAATCAATGAAATGAGCTAAAGCACTTATTATTGTCGAATCATCTATTGTAAGGGGCGTGGACGATTTAATCGGACCACAATGTTGAATATGTTGGTCCTTGACAATCATGCAGCGGAATAGGCTCTGCAACATAATTTGAGAAGTACTACACTACTACCAGTTTACTTAAGTGCATTTATGGTTTCAGTCTCAGTCAAATTGTGAAGCTTTGTCTTTGTTAGAGTGTTTTGCCCTGACCTCTTACTTTTATTTGTTTTTCAGAAATTTAGGGTCGTGCTACCACCCCCTGCTTCTGATTCTTCCAAAAAAAAAGTATGGAGATTGATCGACAGTGATTTAAAGTTTATTAAAGTGTATTGAAACAGACCCTATATAAAGAAAGTTGCATTTCTTTGTTTCCCTCCGTTGTAAACAACTAAAAATATAAAACAGGTATAGAAACAAGGAAATCATGCCCATGCGCATATTCACTACGCACGTACACTGGTAAAACCTGGTAGGCTCAACATTAGAGGAGTCTCCTTGATTAACTCGTAAACAAACAAATACAAGGGTGAAAAAAGTACCAAAATTGGAAAAACTCATTCTTGAGATGCAGCCTCGTTTGATGTTGCATCCATAGGCTCCGCTTCTATTGATTCATCAACTTTGTCAGCCTTCTTCCCTGCAAAACAGAGATTCACATTACAACCAATACAACCGAATCCCTCTTGCGATAATTTAAATGTGAAATTGGATTAAAGGTGTTGACATCAGACAGCTTTAACCCATTAACTACCCCATAGGGCCCAAAGGCGAAATGCCTGACTGGTTCAAGCAAATTACACAATTTTTTATCAGTAACTGAAAACTTTTATTAAATAAGAGAAATGCAAGTACAAGAAATGGGGAAACAAAATGTCTTGGCTCCCCACTAATAGATTACAAGAAAAACATAGAAAATAGCCCAAAATAAAGAATCCCTATACGCCCCTTGTTTGGCTAAACCATCAACAAATGAGTTCGCCCCCAACTATACTTCCACCTAAATACCCCGAGTAAGCCATTTGAATTTCTTCCCTTTAGTGCTAAACCTCCAGCAGTAGCTGGTGTCTTCCTTTACCCATCTAATCACCACCTCTGAATTACCTTCAAGGATCAACCTTCTGAAGTTCCAGATCCCGAGCTTTTTGGATATCTTCTAAGGCCACAAAGATCTCAGCTCTAAGTGAGTCTCCTTCTCCAATAGGGCCTGAGAAAAAAGATAAAATAATCCCCTCCTCATTCCTGAACACACCCCCAATTCCAGAAGGCCCTTGATTCTCCACACCACAGCCATCAATATTCAGTTTTATGAATCCATAAAGTGGGGATGTCCAAGAGGGGCTAGAAGACCTCTTAAATTGGGCAGTGTTAGCTATCTCCTTACAGTTTCTCATCAAGTCAGCCAGTGAGACATCTGCGAATAGGTCCACAGATTTCCACCAATGGACCACCCTCAACAGAATCAATTCTGTTAAACTCTCATAAGTTCTTTCCTTGTCAGAAAAGATGCATGAGTTCCTTTCTTCCCACAAAGACCAACAATCTGCTGCCCTAATGCATCTCCACATCATTCTCCCTCTTTTCTTAGGCAAACTGAAGAAAGAGGGTGAAAACAGGCTTCGCACATCCACAGGGGGGGAACCCAAATACACCCAAAAAGGGAAAAAACCCACTCCCAGATAATCTTAGCAAAACAGCAAGAAACCAAAAGGTGGTAGCCAACCCCATCAGCTTTGCAAAGGGAAAACCTATTAGGGGATAAACAAAGATTGGGTCTCTTTCTTTGAAGGTTGATTCTTTCCAGGAAAGTTTTCCAACAAAAACTACCAACCCGAAGAGGAATGGGCTTGCTCCAAATCTCACTAACAAGGAATGTGAAGAGGAGGAAAGCCACGAAAGTAAGCATTGAGAACAAACAAACGCACATAAATCCAATCACAACTAACCCAAACCACTCTAAGTGGGAGAAGTGCCCTGAATATTGACTTACTAGCAATGGACTAAAATTATGTTGCCATGCACATCAGATCAAGATTTAGCAATGGACCAAAATTATGTATACGAATTTCTCTCCTATTTTCTGCAGCTTTTAGGCTACACCAAGGCATGCCCATTGGTTAGGAGTTTGGATCCTCTGGCTCGTGCACAAGATACTACGGCTGTACACCAGGAATATCTCCACATGAATGAAAACATAAAGTACAATTACCGATGTGTGGATGTGGTGTCTTGTGCATTCAACTTTTTCATGTATTAAAAATCTCAATTAAGAATTAAACAATTGCAGGAAACATGACACATGTTGAAAGTAATGCGTAGTAGTTGAATCCACTGGTGCACCAAAAACCTTTGTCAAATTTAGACAAACTAGTCATGCAAAGCTTTTAAACCAAATGTTATATTTCAGGAGTTAATTTTAATATACCTTTCTTCTTCTTCCCACCACCCTTCTTCTTTGTCTTCGTGCCCAGAGCCAACCAGGCTTTGATTTCTGGATCATCATCTATTTTTTTTGTGGGCTGCAGCTCCTGAAGAGCATGGGATGTTATCCGGTCTGATCCATTTGGCATTAACAAGACTGTGAATTTAATATGGGCAACAAAATCACCTGCAAAGGCAAACATGCACGGAAGGTCACAAAATTTGCCAAGACTACAGAATCTTAGTAAATGAATGCTAACTGTTACTGCTTGTAATCCGTTCTGATTATTCTAAAACCTCAATCCAAGCAGGCGTCACACACCAGGTTTCTCGTGAAGAACAGGATATGGCTGCAACAGATCATGGTTTACACATTCCACTAATCCCAGCCTAGCCCTCTTCTCTTCCAAAGCCCTGAGATGAAAGAATCCCATACAATATTGTGTTATTTATAGTACAAAGGCAAAATAGTTGAAAGCATATGATGATTGTTTTAGAATTAAAAAGGAAATTAGCAAACCTTGCTGAAAAGGGCATGATAGGGAATTTCTGATTAATTTCGCTGAAGATGAACCTAGATGATTTCATCTTCAAGTGGTAATTCTTGTCAACGGCTCTTTTGTAAATTGTTGTTTGTTTCTCATCCAACAGCTTGGGCTGTGTATTAATTTTCACAGAAAACAAAATAAGAAATAAAATGGTACTAAAATTCAGCAACAATAATTTCTGGGTCAATTGCACCTTGCACATACCTTTCCATCACCAGTGCTAGTTACTATGTCAATGGCATAGACTTCATTCTCCTCAAATTCTGCATCATCAACTCTGGTCTCAGGACTGGTTACACTTAGTATGACCTTGTTGCCATCAATAACAAACTGTTTTAACTGGTGGCTCAGAACGCCTTCAACAATCTTGCAGTCATATGCAGCAGCAACCTTCTGAACAGCTTCTGTAACATCTTTGTTCTGCCAGACCCAGAATGACTTAGTAACTAGGTAAAATCATGTTTGATGACATGAACGAAAGAGATCACATCACATGTAATGATATTGGAAACAGGGAAAGTAATATATGAGGTATATGCTGCAGATGTGTTTGACATCATCGACAAGTTAATCACGCTTTCTAATCTCCACTCTTTCAGACAAGTTAATCACGCTTTCACTATTAGTGAATCCTATCCTGTCACATGCAATGGTTCCAAAGGTTCTTAACTTCAAAATAAATCTTTTGCCACAATTGCAGAAAAAGCTGACATTACCAACTTATATAGAAGATTATGGAAGCAGTGCATAGGTAACAATGTATGTATGTAGGCACATACACAGAATAAGCCCACCTAGAAGCATCAGCTGGTAGTAGGGGTGCAACTTTAGCAGGTTAGGGTTGGGATTTTGTCAAAATTCCAATGGGCCCAACCCGAAACCCAAGCCCGAAACAGTGTAAACTGTTAACTCGGGCAAACCCAAGTTGCACACCTGGTAGAGAGTAATAAAACATCAAAGAGCAAATATCTTTACTTAGACAAAAAGCATCAAAGAGCAATATCTTGATCAGATAAGTGACAACTCCCAATCCCCAATTGCCAAGTAAACTTTACGCAATAGAGTGGCGAGAAAGTCTCCGTACATCGTTTGAGAGTCCGTCTATCCTTTTGTCTTGGTAATTTAAACATAGTAATTGGCAAAGCGTTTGGCCACCTTCACAAAGTTTCATACAGGAATGTTGCCTCCTCTCATCTAGCCAATAGGAAGAGTGCTACCGCTGATATCTATAGATTGAACAGGGGAATTTTTCAACTTTTTTTATGCCATATTTTGCATAGCAGAAAGAACAGATAATTGTGCAGCAACAATGTCGTCCCATCAGAGTAACTATGACAAAAGCTTCATTTGGATATTAACCCATAGCTTCCGACAAGTGTTTCATCATTTAGAACACCATATATGCCATATTTACAAAGGAATATTCTCCATAGACATATCAGAAACAACAGGACCAGGCATGTAGTATCATCTAGAACCTACAGAAAGTAACCTTTGTGTATAAACAGTAAATTGCATCAACATTTGACCATATCAGACACAAAAAAGAAAAAAAAGGAATGAAATTTACTTCATCAGGTATTGAAAAATTAAGAGTCATGTGGTCCTATCAGTGTAACTATGACAAAATAAAACTTCATAGGAGCTTGCTCCATGGCTATGATAAGTTAACATCCCATAAATAAAAATTATGCTCCTTTAAAAATCTTTCCACAATGAAAACAAACCATAAAATCAAACTCAAATTTATCATATAAAAAATAAGTAAAACAAAAAGGAGCAGTGTATAATAATTCATTACAAGCCAGAAATTAATTATATGACCAAAAATAGTTTTTTACAGGTGTTTGAACTATATAGCATGGTGAGGCTCCCATATTAAACAAATGCAGCAATCACCATCTATTTCCACATATTAAAAGAATAACAAAAATTAGACAACTATCAAGTATAACCATTTACCTTATTCCGCCTGAATGTGAAGGCAAATAGTATTTTTTTATGAATTATTATACAAGAAATAACATAAAGCCCAAAAAATCTCAATTATTGAAATCATAAAGAGATGTTGGACAAAGGGATTATGAATATCAATCCAAGGGAAATAGATTGAACAGAAGCACCCAAGCATGGCCAATCAATATAGGCAATAGGGAAAAGAGGGAACCAATAAAAAATTGATCACCTCGGCAAAGTTGCCTTTATTATGGTGTTCTTAACTTCTTTCTACTATTAACCACTTCAACCCATAAAATGATCTGGTGGCAATTTTGTAAAATCTTATGGCAGAACCCAGAAGACAGTAATTGAAACAAAAAAAAAACAGTAAAATATATAGTAAAGCACTGTATTAAAGGAGAAAGTGACAGTTAGATGCATCATGGGAAGGTATGTTCTAGAATGTCACAATCTTTAGATGGACCTTGGTAATTTAATATCTTCAATTCATATTTGTAATGTAGTTTGTAGAGCATTTTTAAATTGATTGACACCATTTAGCTTAAACTTAGCGGTTTTCGAAGTCATATGCTTATAACTCTAATTCACAAAGTTTCATAAAAGCAAAATCATTGCACTGCCCCCTTGATTTCTTTTAGGTAACAGAAAATAATAGATCCACTATCAAGTCAAAAAGATTTTTCATTTTCTGGAGACAATATATTCATATAGGCAGCCTAATGCTACTAGTGCACAAAACTTAAAAATTGCATTCTCGATTTAAAGAAGCCATTAGTTTGATGAAAATTTCTAGGAAAAAATCTAGTATAAACATTGGTAGCAATAAAATAAAAAAGGACGGTTTATTGACCATGCAAGGGGATCTTGATGGAACATGATATCTATCAGTGTAACTATGACAAAAGCTTCATTTGGAGCTCACTCCATAGCTAACAATGATTTCTCATCATTTAGAGTATCATTTCCACTGAAAACTTTGTAACAAAAAAGCCAAACAACAGTGAAGATGGTGAACTTTAAAAGAAAATTCATGTTTCCAAGAAGATTGTATCCCATTCATTGCCCAAACTACAGCATAGCATACACATGTTCAAACAAGCCTGTAGTCATTCCAACCATTCCTTATCTTTAGATAGGTTGGGAAGGCATTATGTTGTCAGATTAATGTTCAATTTTTCACTATCCATATCAACTCAACACCTTCAATTTTTTCTCAAAAAAAAAAGCAAAAAACCAAGGAGCATTAACTCTAGGGTACAAGTCAGTTAGCCGATTTGAAGAATTTTCACAGTATTGGCCTGGCTTTTGGGCCAGACCCATTGAAATTTTAAAAATTTCCCAGGCCAAAACCAATCAACTTGCACCACAATTTTTTTTGATAAATAACTTGCACCATAAATTAAGGCATGAGATATAAAAATTAGGGCTGTCAAGGTTAAAAAAAGAGGTCCACATCCAAATTTACAGTACTGACCTTATTTTACACCTTTTCTCAACTTTTATACATGGCATCCCATATAATTTTATTTTTGTTCTTTTTTGGGCATTCACAGGACTATACATCCCCCATCCCCATACCCATAACCCCTTAGCGAAGGTGGGAATCAATCCCAAGTATTAGCGACAACCAGACTGAGACCTTACCGAAGGCGTCAACTAGTAAGTAGAATGCATTATATCATAGAGAATCCGTCTTTATACAATAAGAACGAAGATAAGCATAATACACAAAAGAGGCACAGACAATAATGGATGGTAGCCATGGCACTAACATTTAATAAAGTTACACAAGTGAATATTTGTACATTTCAAGCTAATCACATAAAATTTGAAAACTTGCGGTTAACTAGTAGTCTAAAGCTTAAAGGGAGATAGATGAAGAACATAAGGGAACAACTTTCCTTTTTCTTATTTTGGTTTTCTTTTTGCAATAGGCAAGAAGGAATAGAAGTATGATACATGTTCAGTACCCAAAACAAACAGGCATAATTGAGCATCAAGAAAGACCAGCATGAAAACACAATACTCGATGAAAATAAGGAAACAATAAACAGAAAATAAAAAAAAAATCGCAATTCAAACATGGAGTACTATTACCTTTCTTCCAGGCCTTACGAGCCTCAAAGCAACTTCGGCAGCAGTGTTTGCAGCTGCAATGACATCAGCTGCCCTACCCGTCACTGGCCCTTCCTGCAAGACACGAGTGTGCGCAACAACAGCAATGAACCCATCAATATGACAACCCATGTCTCTGCAACCAATAAAAATCTCATCACTCTTCGATCTTTGAGAAGTTCTGTTTCGCACTCAAAAGACTATGTACGGTGGAAATAGCATGAGGGAGAGAGATGATAAGACATAAAAAAAAAACTTACATCTTCAACATATCACCTTCTTCCAATACTGTTTCATCACTGGCAAGTGGAGAGAAGTGGCATACGGTGTTATTCACCGAAATGCACGTTGGGAAGGCGACGCCCCTCTCGATCTTCCTCTTAACATTCTTGTACATGTTTCCAGTTTGCCTGTATATAAACAACCCCAAGCACATATATCGATCAAACCAACCAATCTAACCTACCCGCGTAAAATCGATCAATACCAGACAATAAATGAAAAGAAATCAAATCCACGTAAATACAAAGTCTTACTCTCTGATAAAGGCATCGCCCTTCTCACATAAATCTACAATCTTAGCCTTTGGTTTGCATTCCGACAATACCAGCTGCAATGCCTCTGCAATTTTTTCCAATTTCAAGACGCAACTAAGAAATACCATCACCAGGAAACGAACAACATTCTAGCAACTGTTTAGTTCTTAATCTCTAGGGTATCAAAACTAAGCATAAAACAGGAGAAGGAAAATTGTGACAAAACAGATTTCAAGTACAGAGAATGATATTAACTGTTGACTATCTCAGCTGCGCTCTTGTATTTGGTGACGACTTCGGGGGAAGTGAGATCCAACTCCTTCTCCTCCTTCGTTTCCTCGTCCGACATCGTTACAACACTTCGAATCTCTCACTGCGATTAAAAAGGAACAAAATCAACAAACAAACTTTAAATCAGCTATGCGGCGCATAGATTCAAACGGTGAAAAGTATACGTATACTTGATGAGAAAAGGAAAAGAGGATGAAGGAAATCACCAAAACTAAAGGATGTAGACTGCTTGAAGCAAAACTACTAGGGTTTTAGTCGATTCGTTCAGAAACGGGTTTTAGCTTGAGAGGTTTAGAGAGAATCAGAGAAGGCGTCTCTCACTCTCTCAGAGCCTAGTCGTCTAGATAGAATCACAAGGAGGTTTGTACATTGGGTTACTAGGGCATCGCCGCATTGGCACTGATATATATATTGGAGCGTTACCGGTCATGTGGCATTTCATTTCCTATTTGACCGATTTTTATCAAATTGCTTGAAGCTCCCCAATGCTTCTGACCTATATTATTCACTTCCCTATCTTAAATAAAATAATAATAAGGTACTGTTATATATAGGACGCAAGTCAGGCGGGCTGGGTCGAATTTAGAGTTAACCCAAGCCCAACCCTAAATATTGGGCTCAAGTGGGCCTGTAAAGCCGAATGTAACTAAAAAAGTTGCATTAACTTATTTTGAGTATTACTAATTTATTTGAACCTTAGCATGCATGTGTATCTGTGCATGTATATCTATCAACATGTGTATATATTTATGTGTGTGGTTGGGCAGGATGGGTTATTTTTAGTATTTATTGGAAACTGTGCTTATTTTACGTGTTCACATGCTGATTAGGATGGATTTGGACTTTGTCTCTATATCAACAAAATACATTCTTATGACCACCAAGCCTATATCTTGAGTTTAAGTCGGACCCTTACATAAAATAAAACCCAAAGCTTAATTAGGAAAATTGAGAAAAAAGTTTTTTTTTTTAATTCAACAATAGAACTGATTTGTTTATATTAAATGACCTAAAAACTTAAAATCACCAAAAGATCTCATTATGGCTTGAGAAAAAGAGAATATCAACAAAGAAGCTTGAGCTCAACTCTGGAAAAAAAAAAAAGGCGGACATGTGGTTTGGGCCTGACCATAAGCCCACAAGCCTAAATTCATGTACAAGCCCAATTTAAGAGCGGGCTAGGCCAGGCAGTCAGGCTTTCTGGCCCATGATCAAGTCTACTCAGGAGTCAGGACCACACCAATTAGCACTTATATGCATTTTGGGATTCTTTTTTAAGAAATAAAACCGTTTTGAATGAGCTCCAAATTTTTCTTGCTTAAGTGCTTTTTGAAAAAAAAGCTTATTGTGTTTCTAATTCATCTTGGCCAGCCATGTAATTTTCAAAATACCTATACTACCCCATTTGAAAGTTCTTTTTTTACTTAACACTTATAAGATAAGCACTTATCCTATAATCACTTATTTATCCAATAAACACTCCTAAACTAATGTGAGGTTTGATAAATCTGAAATCTGACAAGTTAAAAAGATATTAATGGCGTTTTAAATCTGAATTTTTAGAGTCTTTAAACAGAGAAGGTTGTTTGTGTTGGATCAAACCTTCAACATCTGAAATTTCCAAATTTTACTATTTTACCCCTAGAACATACTATTTGGTAATTTTGAGTTCAATTTGTACTATTTCATAAAATATAATTTATTAAATTCAAAATAGTATTGAAAAATATAAACAAATTATGATAAATTATAAAAAAATTAAAAATTTATTAAAATAAGAATAAAATAGAATATATATATATATATATATATATATTTATAAATTAAAAATAAATTATTAAAAGTTAAAATAATAACGAAAATAGTAATAAAGTTCATGAAGCAATGAAAAATATATTTAATAATTATCAAATTATTAAATTAAACCTATTAAACTATTTAATAATTAAAAAATTCAAATAATTAATAATTAATACAAATAAAAATATAAAAATAATTTATTAAAATAAGAATAAAATTGGAAATACATATAAATTTATAAATTAAAAAATAAATTATCAAGAATTAAAATAATAATAAATGATTAAGAATAAAATTCAAACGCTGTTGTTGAGAATTGCAACGGCGATGGTGGAAAGACAGGGAAGAGAGAGAGAGAGAGGGAGGGAGAGGGAACCTGAGCGCCGCTACTGAGAGTTGCATTGACGGTGATGGGAAGACAGGGGAGAGGAAGGGAAATCGAATGCCGCTATAACTCTTTGAAGCAGTGGTGGCGAGAAGACAAGGGGGAGAGAGAAAGAGAGAGAGAGAGAGAGGGAGAGAGGGAGAAGGAAATGCCACTGATGAGAGTTGCATCGGTAGTGGCGAGAAGACAAGCGGAGAGAGAGAGAGAGAGAGAGAGAGAGGGTGAGGGTGAGGGAAATCGAACGTCACTACAACTCTTTGCAGCAGCAGTGGCAAAAAGACGGGAGAGAGAGAGAGAGAGGGGAGGGAGGGAGAGGGAAACGTTGTTGCTGAAAGTTGTAGCGGCCGGGAAGACAAGGGGATAGAGAGAGAGAGAGAGGTTGTGGGAAATCAAATGCCACTACAACTCTTTGCAACGGTGGTGGCAAGAGAGAGAGAGAGAGAGAGAGGGAGGGAGAGGGAAACGCCATTGCTGAGAGCCTGCAATGGTGGTGGCTGGAAGACAAGAAGAGAGAGAGGGAGAGGGTGAAGGAAATCGATGATGGGCATTTGTCTTTTAATGCAGTCTAAAAAATGTCTGAGCGCATTAAGTCATTGTCCTGACTCTTACAAATTCAGATATAAAAATGCATTCCATATCTGAATTTTCATACTCAACCCAAACATAGGTGGCATCTGAAAAGCAACATTTACAGATTTCAGAGGTCTAAAAAGTGTTATCAAACGCCACCTAAGGTTTAATGTGAGTTGGATAAAATTGGATATGGGAGCATATATGATTCAATATGGGTTAATAAGCGATTTAATAGGAGAGATAAAGTTAGATGTAGGAATAAATACGAGCTAACAAGATTTTAATTTTGAGATTTAATAAGAGTTAATTGACAAGATGGATTCCTATTGGTGCTTTGGAGAGTAACTATCTAACTTGTCTTTTGTTTCTTTTGGTGAAAAAATAATTGGAATTTTCTATCTTACTGGGTGAATACCCCCCCCCCCCCCAATATCTTAGGGTCAAGCCACTGCTTTTAGGATAAAAGTAGTTGTTGTGTTAAACTATAGCTTTATGGTAAAAATGGTATTTGTATTAATTGCTTCTAAGGAGGTGTTCATTTTTTAGATTTTGAGAGGGGGAAAGTTGGTTGTGAATCCCATTGACTAAAAAATCTATGTTCTTTTTTCAGATTCATGTGGTGACCAGGGAAAGTTTATTTTCCTTGGTATACACATCTCCTGTGTGAATAAATAACTTTCCCACTTGAGGGAAAGTTGTTATTATCCATCAAAAAACATGAGAAATGCTAGTAAACAACAACTTTTATGCAACTTATATATTGATAACTCTCCTTACGGACTTGGTGGAACCCTTGTGAAGTTTTCTTTATAGCCTTTTCATGGGACTATCCAGGACATTGCTCACAGAAAGGACAGCCATAAGGCACTATCCAGGACAACACTTGTCCTAGATAAGTTCACCTTAGTTGGAGTGTTGGACATTTGTCCAAGTAGCTACCCGAACAAAAAAATTGACTTCAAGGGGCCATATTTTTCCAAACTGCCCTGTGAGCTACTTCCACCTCGTTGGCCATTACAAAACAAATGAACTGAAAATGAGCCTGACTATGCCAACCCCAGATTCTGGAATCTTCCTCCTGAGGATTATACATAGCTAGCCTTCCAACAAGGCAAAAAACAGGGTCATCTAATCCTGTTCCCAATCATTGAAATTAAATACCAACAGAATGTCGGATTCCACACTATTATGCCCCTGTCTAGGCTGTAAGACTCCACTACTCGGGCCTCTTGTTGCTAGTCATCAAAAATAGAGAGGGAAACAAATCCTTAATGGGGAAATCAGCAAACCAGGCTTCATTCCAAAAGATAAAATTGTCACCCTTTCCAACCTTAGATCCGATGCCTCTCAATAATTGAGGGAGGTAGTTGCAAATGCCTTTCCATGGACACTGAGGAGGTTTGAGGAACCCCCACAACCCACTCGTTTCTGCTCAAGTCGTACTTTTCCACAATGAGCTTCCACCACAAACTATCAAGTTCAGAACTAATACACCAAAACCAGTGACCCAGCAAGGCAATATTGAAGAGTTTCACACTTCTAATACCCAGTTCCTCAGCTAACTCCTCTGTATTAAACACTTGGCCAATGGAAGCATCTCACTCTTGACTAAGCTGACTTTCAAACCTAATACCACCTCAAACCAGTATAAGAGGAACAAAGCAATTACATAATACATTTCCTTTACAATTTACTTATTACTCTACATCTTTGGCTGCAAATTCTGGTTGATCTACCAGTGGATTTGGGGATTTAACATGTGGACAATCAAGAGAGTTCCTCCATTCAGTGGATATTTCAGATTTGACACATGAGGGATGCATAAAAAGATAATGAAAAAAATGATGAATAAATGTCAACAGACGTTGTTTATTTGGAATCAGGTCCTAATCCTCTTTTCATGGGTTTGATTTAATGGAGATTCAAAGAACATAATAGCTTGTATATATAACACATACCATACTTCGAACCCTTGTTTAAAACAAAACCGCTTCACATGATATTGATGTTGCAAAGTAAAGTATCAAAATGATTCAGACGATATTGACTGAAACATGTCAATATTTTTGTTCTATGCCTCTACCAATGAGCATCTGAACACAATTTCATATTAAGATTTAATCTTAGACATGTTATTCCAAAATCTTATTCATGGCAAGTTGAGCTCTAAAATTTGTGTTATCAAAGTACTTTTAGACCATGTTTGGTTTGACACAAAAGTACCACAAGTTCTGAGGGAAAATTGTCAACAAATTATATGAAATTCATTCTGAAATTTCCCTCAACTTTCTATTTCTAACTTATCCATCTATCAAACTAAGCACACCTTTGATATTTACGTAGATTTTCACAACATATCCACGCATACACCTTTCATTTTTTTCAAAGTGATGCCCTGATTTTCATGCATATCTCTTTGCTTGTTTGAAATAAGAAACTGTTTGAAATGGCTAATGGCTAGATTGCCTAACTTCCTAATGGGAAAGGAATTGAAAATCATCATCACAGAACAAGCAAAGGAAAACTTTACAAACGTTGCCTTGTACCCAACCCTGCCTTTATATGTTGTATGGATGGTTGAGAGGTGATTAGGGTAGCCTTAGTCGGAATCCACATCGCTAACGTCTGATGTTACCGATTGGTGCTGTCCATTGGAGGGCAAAAACAGAACGGTTAGGGCAAATCCATAACACACACAGAAGAGTGAGATAGAGAGAGAAAGAGAGAGAAAGCTCAGTTCACCTGTTGATGCAGACATCGTTGGTTAGGTGTGTAGTTCCTGTTGACGCAAACATTGTTCGTTAGGTGTCTCGGTGGTGGGAAGAGATAGAGAGAGAGAGAGAAAGAGAGAAGTGTTGTCTGGTGGTGAGAGAAGGTTGAGATAAAAGAGAGGGAGAAGGAGACACAGAGGGTGGGAAGAGGAGAAATGTGCTATGTGAGGAAAGGAAGCTCTAATTCATCTTTCGCACCTCCTCGACATTAGCAGCTTGTCACGGGGGTAATCGTTGGGGCCCCGTGCGGCACTCGAAATGGGCGAGTAAGCCTACGAAACAAAGCAAACACACACA